GTTATTGTATTGGCACAATCATTTTGCCATTGGAGGTGAATCAACAACTGGAGTGTTTTATTTGTTTAGGACTCTTAATTCTTCTGTTCTAATATGGTAAAGGGGAAAAGAGTGCAATGCTCGTGTATCATGTTAATGCTTACCCATTTGCTATGCTTACCTTTTTGTTTTGAAATTGACTGGCTCACTCCTTGTAATTATTATGGCTGCAGACTTTTCTAGGCTTTGTGAACTTTCACTTATATCACTCGATTAATTTGAAGTATCCACCGATACTGGACCCTAAATTGGAGGCTTTGGCAGCAGGTGATTTTAATGTTTATTACCAAAGTCTGTTATTTTAGATTGCTCTAATTTTAATCAACTTAGATTTTACTGTTTCTTTGTTTCCGCGTTTTTTATTATTGTGAATCTACAGATCTTTATGCTTTGTCAAGATACTTCGATGCCAACTCTAGAACTTCTCTATTGGGTCCTCAGACTTCTGGTTCTTTTGAATCTGGAGAAATAGATGCTGAACAAAAGTCTGAACTTAGACTTGCGCAGCTTCAACTTCAACTTCCCTTAGACGAGCCAACTGCATTGATGCATCTTGTTGAAGATGCAGCTTGTAAGGATGAGGATGAGGATGAGGATGAGGATACTAGGGAGTGTAAGAAACTTTTTAAGAACATGAAGTTCTTTTTAAGCCGTGAGGTGAGATTATTTTCCATTTTACAATACGGTGTTATTGCTGTGTGCATTGCTACTGAAAATAGAGATGCTTTTTGAGATGGAATTCTGTAAGAAGATTGCATGCAGTAAATCCAAAATTAAACCCAAGATAAATTCCAAAACGTCAGAAACAGAGATTTTCTGTGTGGAGGGAAGAAATCATATATGTGAGGGTGTGATTCTACTAGATAGTTCTCTTTCCATCTTGTATGTAAACTTTAGGACATCAAACTTCATCAAACAACAATTTTAGGGGACAGTTTTGGAAGTTGATTTACTTATGTGAGTTCTTCACATAAGTGAACTAGTAAACGTTTGCTTAGTTGTTTTATGTCTCTATTACCATGGTTATTAGATTTTAGCTGTGTCAACGATCCTCCATTCTTTCTTCTGAAGTCATACTGGATCTTATGATTTACTCTGTGGATGTTCTCCCAACTTCCATGTCAGGTTCCTAGAGAATCACTGCTTTTCGTTATCCCTGCTTTTGGTGGCATGGTTTCTTGGGAAGGAGATGGAGCACCATTTAAGGAATCCGACGAAACCATTACTCATCAGGTTCTCCAATAATTAAGACAAATTGGTGTGGCCTATAACATATTTTCATCCCTTCCTGATCCTTTCTAAATGCAGATTGTTGACAGGCCAACGCAGCCTCACAAGTTCCTCTCTAGAGACTATGTTCAGCCCCAATGGGTCTTTGATTGTGTGAATACACGAATCATCTTGCCAAATGATGTTTATTCGGTGGGAAGGTACTTCCATGTTTTAAGATCTGCAATTAGATTTCTTTCTTGCATGCATTATCTAAGTACTATAGACTATCCAAATTTCTTTGATTCAGACTTTGGATGCTCTTTTATAGAAAGTAGTTCTACGTGTTAGAAGTTTGAACCAACAATTTTCAGAACGAAAAAGCTCTGTTTTGTTGTTTTCAGGTTGCATTTGTTGTTTATTTAAGTAAAGTTATGTATATGAATCATTGTAACTTTTTTATAAATTCTACTACCTCTATCTGCTTTAGCACGCACATACTTCATAATACAAATTAGTTTTTATAGTTGGTTTTAACTTTTATTATTTATACCTTCGAACTAATATATCAATTTGCTAGGGTTCCTCCTCCGCATCTTTCACCTTTTGTTGACAACGAAGCAGAAGGATACGTTCCTGATTATGCCAAGACCCTTAACCAGTTGAGGGCTGCTGCAAAAAGCGAAGTCTTGCCATTGCCGGGACTAGGCAAAGAAAATTTGGATGATCCTCAGAATTTGTTGGCTGAAGGTGTCACTGATCGAGCTGAGGCTATCATAGCTGTTGAGAAGAGACAAAAGGTATACCTTTGATGAAAATAGTACAGGTCGAATGAACGGGGCAGCTCAGTCCAACTGTTACTTAAACGCTAGAATATGCTCTTATTGTGGTATTGTATTTCCTAATGCAGATGATGGCTCTTGAGAAACAGTATCGCGATGAGTTAAAATTGGAGATTGAAGGACGACAATATCATTCAGCTATTTCAAAAGTTGATAAGCAGGCGTCTGGTGAGGAGAGTGAGGGTGGCGAGGATTCCAACCTCCCTGATTATCAACAAATTGCAGAAGATAATGCTAACCTGTCATTGGTTCTTATGTCAAGAAACATTAGAGGCATTTATAAAGCTACGCAGGTAATTTACTTGATTTGTTGATCTATTTGTGGTAGTGCTTGAAGTTTTCCTTATGGTCTAGTAATAAACATACACCCACTCTGCGTTCGTTCTGTCATAACAAATTCAAGTTTCTATACTTTACTTCTTTTGCCCTTTATTCTCGGTAAAAGTTTTTTTTTAAAAAGCTTGCATTAAAATCAGGTTTAAATTCTATTGGTCATCATTTTTTATCTCTAAATTTTGGTCCGTCAGCTTTACAAACTTATTCAATTTTGGTCTCTAAACTTTCAAAATGTGAGTTGGTTCTTGAACTTTAAATTGTCTATTTTAGTTGTTGACGTTTAAAAATTAATTATTTTGATCCTTATTTTTGTTTTGTTTTGTTTTTAAGAATTTAATGACATAGTTTTGAGTACAGGTGTTAGCATGTTAATGTAGACATGATTTCAAGCCACTTAGATTAGAGACAAGCATTTGTATTCGATGGAAAAATAAAATATCAAAGACTAAGGTGATTGTTTTTTTTTTTTAAGTCGAAGGACCAAAATACAACTAATTTAAAAGTTAGGGGACCAAGATGAACATTTTAAACTCGTTTAGATGTTAGATTTTTAAATGTAAAATATATGTATTAAATATTTGTAACTATGTTTATTTCTTTATTCATGTTACTCTTTTAAGTCAAATTCAAAATATATATATTTTCTTTGTTTTGTTGGAAAGCACTTATTATTTAACCACTCTCATTTCTCAACCATAAATGCTTTCCGTTCCTTTTTTAGAAACATGCTTTTGTGCTTTCCCTTCTTTTTTAGAAACATGATTTTGTACTCTTCTGTTGTGACTGAAATTTTTCTTGTTATCAGCGTGGTAAAAGAATGAACCAGGATCGTATTAAACTTCTCGAGGAAAGAAAGAGTAAGCTAGGAGAATCTCACCAATCACAGTAAGTCAAATACAACCGCAATTTTGTTCTCAATCATTTGCAGTATTATTTTTGGATGTGCCAGTTGAGTTAGTGTGCTCGAACCATCCAATATGTTTTTTTTGTCCTTTTACAGAACTATTACCAGTTATTTTCTGGTTCCATGGCTGTAACTCTTTTATCATCATTTGTGTTAGATCCGGTTGAAATTATTAGTTTAGACGAAATATGTCCGAATTTTGTTATTTTCCACCTCTACTTAAAAGTAGAAGTCGACAAATGGCCTACCATTTTAGTTCAGTCAAAATATATTAATCGAAACGTTGACTTCCTAATTGTTGAAACTTGTTTTATGATGTGTTTGAAGACTACGAGCATTAAAAGTATATGACAAACTCTATGATTCTTTCCGTTTGGTATATTATAGGTCCATGTTTTCTCATTTAATAATTAGTGTTTTTTTATTTATGGTTGAAAATTATGTTTATACACTACTTCCACCCCTTATTAAGATGTGTGAAAACCATAAAAGAGATCTTAGATTGTGCTCTTCTATATCTTTTGTGTGTATATATATGTGTGTTAAAAAAATTTACAAGTAATTATTGTGTGAGTTTAAGGTTGATGACATGATAATGTTTGCCTTTCATGAATATTTCAAAATTACATTTGGCGTATAAATAATTATGATATTTTAGATAGAAATTAATATAGTAAAGACCTAATATGAAATTTTGGATTGCTATATCGTTTTGGTCGTCATTATATCATTATATGTCTTGATTTTCACAGGAGATTTCAAAGGATTTTATGCTTAAACGTGTATGCAATATTACAATAGTATTGCAACATTTGAAATACTAATAATAATAGTGATGCAAGTGAAATGCTATCCACAGTCATTTCAAGAACAATTCAACAAATTCCTTCAAAACTAAGACGTTTTTAATTGCTATTTATTATCCGAGGTCTAACTCTATTAAACAAAATTTTCAATTTGGCCATGAACAAAATTTATTTATAAGTGTTATGTCATATGCCATAAAATAACATGTATCGTATTCCTTCACCAAATGATTATTAATTGTGTTTTTAGTTAACTAACACGTGACATTAATATTCAAGTTTCTTAATTTTTTGGTCGAAAAATGTATATGCTACAACTAGCTGAACTATATTTACATTAAACATTATACTTTTAGATGCTTTAAATTTTAGTCTCAAAACTTCCAAATTTATATCGTCTTAGTCTATAGAAACTTGTTATCTATTTTTTTTTTAAATCGTCGTTTGTCATCAAATTTTCGCTCGTCCAATATCTCTAACATGTGTCTTGAAATCCGTTTCATAATAACTTCTCTCCGTGCACACCTTCAAAGTAATGTCAAATATAAATTTAAAAAAGAATTAAAATTGTAAGAGAAAATGAAGCAAATCTAGAATCTTAACAATTAAGACAGTTTTTATTTATTTATTTATTTTTATTTTTATTTTTTTTATAACAAAAGGTAACAAATGAAAAAGGTTATACTAAAATAGGATTTAAGCAATTTTTGGAGTAGCGTCGGAAAAGTAGCCAAAAGTAGTTTACAAGGTTCGGCCAGCTGGCGAGTGACAACCAATAGTATTGCGCCACGTTTCCCACTAGGTCCAATCGTTGCTTTTTCGGTTTCCAAATGCAAAAATCACAGAGACTTTACTAGGGTTCTATTCTCTTTCTTCAAGAATCTTCTCAGGTCTGCCCGTGCACACAGTTATTCAAGTTCGAGCTCAGTTTTCAGTCTCAATCACCATTTCAAGCTTCGAAGCTTGCCGTTTTTATTGCTACAATTGCTTCTTCTGAGTTTTGTTGTAAACTTCATGATTATTGTTACACTGTGTTCAGCTGGAGATGTCGAATTTCGCTCCTGCGCTGCTTGTTCTTCTCTTGATGATCGGTGGAAGCTACGGAGCGACTGCTCATTTCGTCTCTGGTCCGCACATTGCGGACGTGAATATACTATTGCCTCCCAAAATGACTAATCCAGTAGAGTATAGGCTGCAAGGGAGTGATGGTTGCTTCAAATGGTAAATCTTACTTTTCGAGTCATTTTTCTAATTGATGTTTTGCATTATGTAAACGATGGATTTGTGAAAGAGAGTGGACCGACTGGTAAAGAAGTTGAAATCTGAACTTTGGAACTTCTGTATCAGTAATGGAGCTCAGTTGGTGATTAGACTAATTGATTATCATGCTGCAATGTCACGCTTAGTATAGAAATGGGGCCTGCCCTGCATGTGAAAGCTCTTTTGGTTATTTCTACCCAGTGTGCGGCGGGGAGCTAAATAAATTTCCTCAGAGATAGGGAATCATTGGCTGTATCGAACCATCAAACAAATGCTTGAAGTTATCGTTATATGGCTCATTGTCAGTGACTCAGTATTGAGCGATTCTCTTTCTTAGTATTAATTTGAATTTTAAATTTAGTATCGACTATCAAGTGATTCGTAGTTACGATTTGGTAACGTCAAAACATTTTAGACTGATAGCATTTCAAGAAGTAGATAGGCTTACCCATCCCCTAGATCTCAAGAAAATTATATAGCAAATTGATAATAGTTACTTGTCGCTGGTTTAAAAAGTTTCTGTTTAACCAGACATTTTAGGGGAGTGATCTCATTGTAATTGTTGTCTTCTTTGGTCACTGCTAATTTATTTATTGCTTTTACAATAATTTGTAGGTCTTGGGATCATCATGATATTCTTAATGTTCTACCAGAATACAATGTAAGTAGTCACTGCTCGACAAGTGCTCTGCTGAGATCTATTGCTCCTTACAGTGGTCGCAAGGAGACCGCTGTTTATGCTGCTGATGTACAAACTGGAATTGTAATTCGCTGCAAAGTTTTTATCGACAAATTTTCAAGAATCCAAATATTTCACAATTCTATCAAACTTGACTTGGATGGGCTTGCTACACTCCGAGTCCGTGCCTTTGACAGTGAAGGTAGATTTAGTATTCATAACCATGCCTTTAAAAGTGTATCATTATGCAATCTTTCATCTCTCTTGTTGTGTCGTGTATTGATTACATAATGTGGAAACGATGAAAAGAATGGTACACGATATGCAAATGTATGAAAAATACCAGGGAAATTGTCCACGAAGTCACAGTGAAATCCCAGAAAAGAAAATTTTAGATCAGTAATGGAACGTAATTTGTTCATTTTATCATAATCTTATTGTAGGAGACCCAATGTAATGTAACTTTTAGAATCCATTCTAAATATTTAGATTAAATATCAAAGACCTTTTTAGTACTGCATGTGTGGATGGTTGCAAAGTGTGATGGAACTTCAGTTTGCATCCGTGTTTGTGGGACTGGCAGCTGCTTTTGCTTGTCTTTACATTATGTTCATTTCATAGGATCCTTGGAAGGAAATTGCATCTTCAAGGTATGTTCAGCTTTTAACTATGGCTGGAAAGGGAAAGGGGAAGGGAAAGGGAAAGGGAAAGGGAAAGGGAAAGCTAGATTTTTCTTAAACCTTATTAGGATAGCTAAATTTGAATTTCACCTGATGAATATAAATTTGTGTTTATTATAATATTAACCAACTTTGACTATTTTTTAACTTTTAACTTACAATGCTTTCTCTTGATTTAAATACTCCCCTTATTTCCACGATTGTAGTCTTTCTTGACTTATTGTTCAATCGAAATGTATTTTGTAATTCCTATGGCACTTAGTTTGCCCTCTTATGTTATTTCATCTCATCAATGAAATTAAGGAACTGATGTTTCTCATTTAAAAAAACTGAGATCTCTAATTTGTGCCCCATTTTGGTCACTGTTCTGAAAGCGCAAGAATGCACGTGCTTAGGCACTCATTTTGCCCGGACATGGGTGATGTGATTTGTCTTTGTTGAATGCATGCTTCTCAGCAAGTAAGCATCTTTTCTAAGAGCATAAACGAGAGTTAAGCTAAATAAGGATAAGCAAACTTAAGCCATTGGTTCATCTCCTGCGTTCAACCCTCTCATCCAGAGTTCTCTCTCTCTCTCTCTCTCTCTATTAGTTGCGGAGGAACATGAAAATGAGAATAAAGAGAAAAAATGAGGAGGGTTTTAACTTATAAGTCGGTAAAGAAAGTGGGGATGGAACCTATTCTGTGAGGCCGAGTTTTAATTTTTAGGTTGAGTAATGTGGTTTTGTAGACCATTTTGTTGTTGAAAAGCTCATAAAGCTTGACCTTTGTTTTTCCTTTAATAGGAAATCCTTTATTTTCACTGTCTCATGCTTCATTGTGGCTCTTAATGTTATACGTGTGTATGTGTATAGATTGTGTGCTTCACATTTTCATTTCACCCCTCACCTCCGAGACTGAGACTATTGTGCTTCAGCGCATTTCACACTTATCACTGATCTTCCAAATCAGTTCCCCAGCTTCTCTGGATTTCACGTATTTAAGAAATTTGCATATATGTCTGTACCTTATTTCATTAGCTTTAATTTGGATGAGAGTTTGAATTGTTTCTCCATTAATTTTGCAGAAAATGTGTTTTCGTCATTAGTGGGCTTACAATTTATGTGGTATTTGATTCCTGAAACTGAAGGATCCTCGCATCACCTAACTCATCTCCCCTTGAAGGATTCTCCTCTTAGTGATTGTGGTGGGTTATGTGGAGACTTGAATATTCAAATAAAACTGGAAGATAGCGTATGTATGCTGCTGATGTTAAGAATTCCACTATTGATACAGACCTAGTCCAAGCAAACCAAAATTTTATATTTTATAATATTTCTATTTCTTTCTTTATAATGCAGGGCGTATTTTCTGATCTATTTGTTGTAAGAGGAATTGAAATTGGCCATGAAATTGTTTCTGTGCATTTGCTTGAACCAGATGTTAAGCACATGGCCGATAAGATTGTTCTGACTGTGGCAGAGGCAATGTCACTTGATCCTCCCTCACCTGTTTTTGTCCTCGTAGGTGCTACTGTTCGTTACAGTCTTAAAGTTATTCGTGCCAACATACCCCAAGGTTTTCTCTTCAACTCATTCTAATTGTAGTTATCTAGTGTTGTACTAGTTACTATATAAATTTTTTGACTCTGGTGTTCCTGCATGTTGATAAATATATTTTTTTTAATAAAAACCAACTCTCATTTGTAAAAATGATAGGAAGATATATAAGGGTGTTCTCCACAAAGAAAAAGAAAAGGACAAATCAATGGGGACTAAACAAAACTTGTAAATATGAAACCTAAGTTATGGACATTCAGTTGTTCTGTTGTATGTTTCATGACTGTCATTGAATTTGCTTAAAGTTAGACTTTACATGTGTGCATATCCTGTAAGTCCCTTTTTTTTTTGTTGATTTTTATTTTTTTGCATATGCAGTGGTAACATTACCATCTCCACACTACCGATGGTCTTCTTCAAACTCTTCCATAGCTCATGTTGCTTCTGACCTGGGTTTGACAAGCGCTCTAAGATTTGGTGTTACAGCTGTAACTGTTGAAGACACTAGGGTTGTTGGGCACATTCAAATGTCATCATTAAATGTTGTCATGCCAGAATCTTTACATTTGTACATTACTCCTTTGCCTATCGTCGACGAACCCGTTGAAGGAATAGAAAGATCTGTATCTCTTGCCAATTGGTATATTGTTTCTGGTCGTCAATATCTCATTCAATTGAAGGTTTTCTCACGTGGACCTGATGCACAAGAAATATACATTACAGAGGTAACCTTTGTATCTTACAAATATTGGCATTTGAGAATAGATATTCAACATTGAAATATGGTTTTACTTCTAAAAATCTCTATTCTGACTATCTCACATATTTTCTTTGGTGTGTAACCTGGAACAAAATTTCAAGATAATGCTAATATGGCATGCTTGGCTTTCGGAGTCTACCTACTCCTAATTGTTTACCTTTTGGGAGGGTTCACTTAAAGGAATCATAAAGTATTTCATGAATAAAATAAAAGAGCAGAAGTTTGGGAGGTCGTCCAATGGAAGGCACGCTCATGGTGTTCTTTATATGCCATCGCTTTATTTTCTGTTTTTGGAAATCTTTTTTTGTCGATGAAATCTTCTCTATTTCCTATCCAAAGAAACAAGTGTAAACAGGTTTAATGCAAATATGTCAACTTTCAACTGCTTCCACCTTAAGCTTGCTCTACACTGATATTGTTATTTGGAGTTGAATGATAACTCCAGTAACTGTTTGCTCTACTCTGATTTGGGTACCAAGTTGTATGTGACTTTAAAGCAGTATAACCATATTTCTCTGCCATAAAGCTAATGCATACATGTCTTCCAAATTAAGAGAATGAAAAAGTAAAGCTTTCCATATTTGTTTCTGGCTTAATGCATGAGAATCTCAAATATAATTTTAGGTGGTGCTGTTGCCACTAATTACTTTCTATATGCTTGCATTTTAATCTTAGCTGTTTGAGACATTACACGGTACTATTACAGCTAGTCACATTTGTTTACGGCTTAGAAACACTCAGGGATTTAGACGATACTGTTGCAGCTGATTACACCCAACATGCATGCTTTATATATATATATATATATATATATATATTTCCTTTATGCGGGCCTCTGTTTGCTTTCATCTTCTTCTTGTAAGTTGGTTTTTATAGAAAAAAAAAAAAAAAAAATCAATAAAGTCGATGTTAACTTTTGGCATTCTACTCTGATTTCTATACACTTTCTGCTTTATAGATTTTATTTTCTCTGAATTGTGGGCTTTCTCTTGCGGCTGGGAGAATTTACTGTGAGGGGAAATGGACTTTTATGAATAGCTTTTTTTCTACTTGTGGATTTTCCTCTTGCTTAATATATTTGGCTCAAACTTACTTCTATCTTCAGCTCATAATTTCTTTCCCACAAATGCAGAGTGATGATGTTCAGTTATATGATAACCAATCCCAGTTCTTGAGAACTTACCTTTTGACCAATGATCTTGTACCAAAACACAAATGGCGAACTTCAAGAATTTTGCAAGCAATTTCAAAAGGACAAGGAATGCTGACTGCTTCACTGGCTTACTATGGTAGTGATTATGAAACTAAGGAGGTAACACTCCGATAGTTAAATCATATAAATTTTGTTCTTCTCCAGAACTTTTTGGATTTTACTTATACCTGAATCTTGTAAACTTAACAATTGCTATGAGATCCTTTCCCTTTCTATTTTGTGAGTATGGGGGTCGTCGTCTCGATTATTGTGGTTGTAATTCACATTGCTTGGATTAGTTATTCTATTTCGGCCTTCCAGTTGAAAACTTCTTCCTTTTTGATTGTTTTCATCCAATTTAGGTTCTCAAGATCGTGCAAGAAGTTGTCGTATGTGAACGTGTAAGATTCAGCTTGGACGACAGAAATGGAGTATCAAGAAGCATCTTCTTACCTTGGACCCCTTCTGTTTATCAGGAGGTGTTACTTGAAGCTACTGGTGGTCTGTAGCATTTTAGCTGCTTAGTCTTTAAATCACTCTGGCTAACTTACTCATATCTTTTAATTCTCCAACATAGGTTGTGCTAAGACATTAAGTGACTACAAGTGGTTTTCGTCGGACATAAGTGTTGTCACCGTATCTGCTTCTGGAATTGTTCAGGCAAAGAAGTTCGGTAAAGCAACTGTTAAAGTGCTGTCTATTTTTGACTCGTCAAATTTTGATGAGGTAAGATTTAAGAATTATTAGTAATATTCTGTTTAGTTGTTTTTAATTAACTCTCGTCTGTAGTTACTTGAACTTCCATCCATATTTCTTAAATTTTACGTTTTCTTCCACTCTTTTAATTCGTATTATTGTTTGTTATATACTTATATTTGTCTTTTTTTTATTTTTTAGTTTTAATTTTATTTATTTAGTTTGAAGAAACAAATATTTCGATAAGTGAAAATTACAGAAGGGGAAGGGGACAACAACACTTGAAGTCAAGGAAATCTTACAAATAACTATTCCAATTCATTAATTAAAAAACAATTATAAATACAGAAGGTATTGGAGGGAGTACTAAGAGGAGGCCATAAACTTAGGGGCTGTTAGGAAAACTGTTTCGAAAACTTCTCTTTGGTTCCTATGCTATTTTTTTTATTTTTGCGATAAAATTTCTAATAAAAATTAATATTATGTTTTACTTTATTTTTATTTTTATAATTTTATAAGAAACATCAATGGCTGTTTAATTGCAAAAACGAACAACCTCAGGGCCAGGTAGAGAGAGAACCCCCTTCCAAAAAGAGCCAAAGAAACCCCTTCCAATCAAGCATTATCAAAAGGAGGCTATGATTGCAATTTTATTTTATTTTTTATTTTTCTTTTTCTTTTGGTGATTTAAATACCACCAAAGACCGTCTGCTGTACATTTCTCCAGGAAAAAAAAAAAAAATCCTCTATTTGTCTTCAAACAATCTTCACAGCCAAACAAAAATTTTAATGGCACAGGCAAAAGAAATCCCTGCCATGCGCTTGGTAAACAAAAAGATAACCCAAACTCCCCAATCAAATTCATCGAACTGTTATTGGCATAAGTTCAGTGGAGGAATGTTATCTAGCGTTTCCTTGTACTTCAAACTAAAGCAACTAACCTAGGAGATGAGGCATTTTGGAAACTTCCTTTGGCGTTTGTCCGTTGTAATCATCTACTTAAGTTCTTGGATTGATTGGTGATTCAACTCAAATTACCAATATCATTGCAAGAGTAATTGCAAAATGTTATTGTTTGACGATTATTTGTTTTTTGAATAAGCAAATTAATATAACAAAAATGTTAAATTACCAATCAATTCAAAACCTTAAGCTGATGTGTTATAAAAAATTTAACTATATAAATGCTTAAGATTCCTCTTGGTTATGGGCTTGAAAATTTGTAAGTCTTAACAAGCGAAAATCAAATATTAATTGGTAGAGACAATAAAAATAGTGGTTCGGACGAATGACCTCTTGCTCTAATACCAAGTTAAATTACTAATCAATTTAAAAGTTTAAGTGGATGGGTTATAGTAAATTTAATTATATAAATATTTTAGCAAAAAATATTGATTTTTATTAATTGGAAAATAACAGCTCATAGTATGATAACACCTAAGTTGTGGCACAACATTTTAAATCGAGAATCTCACTCCAACTTATTAACTGGCACAATAATATTTTAAGTCAACTAAAATATAGATTCAACTCTGATAAAAAAGCCCATACAAAATAATGAAAGAAATAAAATTTAATATAGGGTCATTTGTAAATAAATTGTCTAGCCGTTTATTTGCCCATTGGTTGGTATAATTTTAATAACTGGCTGTTGGTAGTTAGTCTGTTAGCCAATGACTAATTAGTTTTTTAGGTGCTTAGTTTATTTGTTAGTCATGTACTACTGAATTACATATGTATATCCGATTTGAGTGTAGTTTAATTGGTTAAGACATGTATCCCCGACCAAATGATCATATCTTATTTGAATTAAAAAAAAAAGACTTACATTTTTTAGTGTAAAATTTGTACAAAAATAGATTTTTTTTTCAATTAATAAAGATCCTCCTACTGGGAGGCTTTTATTCACTCTTTCTAAACTTTTGTGATCTGATTTCTAATTTTTTATCTTCTTTTTTCCTTTTTCACTCTTTTGAGCATTTGTATCCTCGAGTATTTTTGCGTCCTTTCATTAATCAATGAAAAAAAATGGGTGAAGATCGTCCTACTGGTTTACATCCAAAACAAATAAAATACATAAGAAATAAAGGCCAACTCTAAACAATAAAGCTTGCATTTTTAATGTATCGCTCTCCTGATGCTCATAAAACAAAGCCCAAAAAGGGATGAAGCCCTCTATAAAGTACTGGTCTGGCTCGAATAAAACAGAAAATGGAATAATGTCTTGGGGTTTGCTACCATAGAAAATCCTTTCTTTATTCACCCTCAATGCCCCTATTACCTTTTTATTTTTTATTTTTTATTTTTGGGGTTGTTCCTGTCAAGCATAGTTCATGTTTAACTTGTTCTCTGCTTTAATAAACCTAAATATGAAAATTTGATCCGGTTAAACAAGTTCTGCTTATCTTACTTTGAAGTACTGGTAGGTTGTAATTGAAGTAGCCCTGCCTGCATCCATGGTGATACTTCCCAGTTTCCCTGTAGAGACTGTTGTGGGATCATATCTTCAAGCAGCTGTCTCAATGCAGTCATCAAATGGTTTCCTACACATTCAAACTTCAAATTTATGCGTCCTTGTGATTTTTTTTTTCCTTTTCCTTTTTTAGTATAATTTTTTATAACATTGATTTTTCATTTGTAGGTGACTATTTCTATCGATGTGATGCTTTTAATTCCCATGTAAAGTGGAAAGTTGAGAGTGAATCATTCAAAATTCAAAATAAAACATGGGAAATGCCTGTACTAGACGTGGTAGAAAATGTTGAGCCACGTGGTTTTTCCTACGGCCCTCCTTGTTCATGGGCTTCTGTCTATGCTTCTGGTTCTGGTCATACTGTGCTGCAAGCCACACTATATAAAGAACATCAGCATTTTGATCTCTCTTTGCATGGGCCTATTTTATTAAAAGCATCTGTACAAATTGCTGCTTATCCACCTCTCCTTGTTGGGTACATTGGTGATGGTAGTCAATTTGGTGGCTTTTGGGTTGATCCGACTCCAACAGAAGTTGATAGTTTGGAAAGTCTGTATAAGTTACATCTTGGTCCTGGAACATGTTCTAATGTCATGCTTCGTGGCGGTCCTGAACATTGGGGTCGAGGTGTTGAATTTATTGAATCTGTTGAGATTTTGGATGAAGATTCTGTTGGCAAGGGCGGAATTTTTGTGCACCAAATATCTGAAAATTATGGTTCATATCAAATTCAATGTCAAAGACTAGGAACCTATGTACATCTCTTTCTTCTTCTGTCATTCATTCGTAATATTTTTATTATTCTACTTGATTAAGAAAAAATCTGATATATATGCTAATTCTGATTCAAATGACTCAGACCCTTCAATTTAAACGCGGTAATTTGATTGGAGATGGCCATCCGACACCTGCAATCGCAGTAGTTCTGGTCTCAGTCATGTGTGGATTCCCTTCTTCGATTGTCTTAATTGCTGACGAACCTGGTATTAATTGTTTCTGTTTGTCAAATGTAGACTCCCTTTGTCAATTGTTTTAGTTGTTGAATCAGTTTTTCATTCTAAAGTTGGATCTTTTTGAACTGGTAAACTGATGGTACTATGCAGCGAATAAAATTGACGTCATACGAACTGCAATTCTAGTTGATGGGGGTTCAGTGAGACATCGTGCTGCTCCTGTTACCGTGGCTAATGGTCGCACTATAAGAATAGCTGCAGTTGGTGTTAGTGATTTAGGAGAGCCTTTTGCAAACTCATCTTCTCTTCATTTGAGGTGGGAACTTAGCAGTTGTGGAAGTTTAGCTTACTGGGATGAGCGGTATGATTCAAAGAGGTCTAAGTATAGTTGGGAGAGATTTTTGAGATTGCGAAATGAATCAGGAGAGGTAAAATCTTATATTATTTCAACTCAAATTAGCATCATTTCATGTGATTCTTTTTTGCATTTAAGTACTTCTTGCTGATTATTATAATATTCTTTCCTGGCATTATGAGCACATGTACTGTTACTTATTTGGTGTGGGTTATTTGGATGAAATGCATGTAATGCAGACAACTGTTTTAATGGTGTTGAGATCTTTCTTCTTGTGTGATTGAAATCCCTCCTCTCCCCTGAACACCCATTGTTTTACTGCTTCTCTGAGTTGAAAAAATATTCTCTCTTCAAGTGCATTGTTCGTGCAACTGTCACCGGCTTTAGTGACGCTGTGAGGAGAGATTATTCTGCCCAGTGGCTTGATAATGCAGATAACCTTTTGACAGATGCAATACGTTTACAGGTATGGTCCTTACGAATTTCCTTATTTATTATTTCTAAATATAGGGGGAACTTGTGCTTGTGTTTTTCTTCTTATGATTAATGATGAATATTTTAAGTTCAAGTAGTTCTTCAACCATGCAAATATTTTTTCTTTTCGTTCTTTCCTTGCCCACTTTCATACTTGTAATGTATTTATTGATACTCATGTTATCTTCTTTACTTGGTTCTTACAACTGATGCTCACAAATGCAGCTTGTTTCTACTCTAAGAGTTCACCCAGAGTACAATTTGCTGTTTTTCAATCCGGATCTCAAGGTAGAATCCTGATACCCACAATATGGATACATCGATTTGATACCTTTCATATTGATATTGCTACTTCGATCTTGGTGTCTTTATATCTGATGTAGCCTAACATCTAAAATTTTGTGGTTGTGATTTTGGTCATAGTACTTCAGATGTCATCTAACAAGCCATTTAACTAAAACATTAACTTACTTAGCTATGAAGCAAACTGACTATAGCGAATTGATGCGTGTAACTACCGAATTCAACAGAATAGAAACAGCAAGTTCATGTCGTAAAATTCTTAATAGAAACCAAAACAATATAAACGCAAACATATATATTCTGATTGGAGAACAGAAAAGAATCATCCAAATATTAAAGTGAAAAGTTGTTGTCAAGCACTACTGCTACCTTCTGATTTCTCACTTTCCGTCCCTCAACTCTGCTTTGTCTTCACTGCCACCGTCAACAAAACTGTTGTCTTTTCGTTGTTAATAAGAGTTTTGTTTGAAATTTTAGTTTATTATTAAAGTTTGATTTCAGCCAAATATGGAAGTGAAAAGTTGCTGTGTAACATTTTTTTTTTCTGTATCTGGGAAGAAAACGTTATGATTTTTGTTGAAGATTTGAAGTACAAACAGGTTATCCCTTTATAGTTTTCCCATCTTCGTTTGTTGGAGAGCTATTTGATTGAACTTCTGCATTTGCCGTGCATTCTAGTTTCTTCAAGTAAAACAGAGATCCTTCATGAACTTTCCACATGTCGAAGCTTAGATCCCATATAGGGTGGTCTTTAGAGTTTGTTGTCTGGCCTTCATTACGAGGAAGAAAGGTTTCAAGGATTCATGCTGGTATTAAGAAAAATGGGTAGTTTGTGTTCCATTTTTAGTAACAAAATCAACCGGAAGTAGGACCAAACTAAACTGAGGTTTGGCAAGCTCAGATGCAAGCTCACAGCTACTAGCGGTCTCCTACAACGCGATCCATCTCCTTTCTTATTCATAATTGTCCTTGGCCGAACAAAAAGGGCTTGACTAGAGGGTTCTATGCTGGAAAAACCACCCAAGCATTATCCATTACACATCTACCATTTGCAGATGATACAACCCATTTCTCCTCATGACGTAGTGGCTCTCAATAATCTCTTCCGTACCATCATCTCTTCCGTACCATCAAAGAATTTGAAAAATATCGAGTCTCAATATAAATTGCCTAAAATCTGAACTTTTGGTATCAATCTGGATGATGATCAAAATTCAACCCTCTAGATTAAAGGGCTTACATAGTTATCCTCTTCCTGATAGTCCCAACCCTAGCTGCCGTCATCGTCAAACCCAGTTGTGCCATGACGGTCCTATTTGTCATTGTCTGATTGTCATAGAACGGTTGCCTTTATCTGCTGTCCTTGTTTGCAATCTCAGCTTCCACATCCATCCTCGTTCGCTATCTCATTCTTTGGGCCTAGTTTGTGAATTTTTTCCTCTTTCTTCTATGGGCTAGCTTCAGCAGTCGTTTGTGTTGTTGCTTCTGCTATCAACGCCGCTTTCTTTCTGAGTCAATGTTTTCTCCGCCTTCCATAATTCTGTCGCCATACCTTCGGCCGACGATTCTCAACTTTGTTTTTTGCTTTTGTTATGACTTACAAGAGCTCTTGTGGTTAAGTACTTGAACATTTGGTTTGAAGATAGTGTTCTTTGTTTAAGATGTGAAGAACAAATTGATTATTCCTCTCTTGTTATCACATTTTGTGCTGGTTGGAAGACTCACTTGTGGATCTTTTGTTTCTTCTAGTGTCTATGAACTTTTCTCAAGCAAACTAGAGATGATAGTGGTAAAATAATAAAGATAGGAATGGAAAAATATTCCAAGAATGTAGCTAGTTAAGAAAATACTTCTTTTTTCTTTTAGACTAATTTTTTTGTAAAAGAGCTTTCACTGCATTGGACCGTAAATTTTGTTGATTTTGGTGCCAAAGGAGGACCAACAAGCAAGTGTAGAATATTCTCCTTAAAATAGTCGAAAACACCAAGGGAGCCTTATGATAATAAAAATTAAAATTGCAATAGATGATACTTTCCTAATTTTCCCCTAAACATATTCTATAAATTTATAAATTATAATCACAATATCTGCGATAACATACAACTAATGTTAGTGCGATAACACAGGTAAATATGTCGATTACTGGAGGGAGCTGTTTCTTGGATGCTGTTGTGAATGATTCTCGTATTGTTGAAGTTATTCAACCTGCTCCAGGTATACAATGCCGAGAGTTAGTGTTGTCACCTAAAGGATTGGGAACTGCGCTTGTGACGGTTTATGACATTGGGCTCACTCCTCCACTATCATCTTCAGCTGTGGTAATTTATCTTTCCATAGTGTTATTCCTGCAAGTATTAGTAATTGAAAGGAACCTGGTTATATTTGCACGATTGCCTTTTCTATGCCCCTTTTCATGCTCATGCTATGGAAACGCTATGTTGATTTCTACTTGTGACTCTTTTTTAGCATTACTTGACTTGGAGTCAAATTAGTATTTAATGAAAATTTTGCAAGAAAATTATATTTTTGGTTGATAAGGTTTCTGAAAACTTATTTCTTAATGAACGTTCTGCTTTCTTTTAAGGAAGTTCCGAGTTGAACTAAAATTTTCATCTCCATGTATACTTAAGAAGGTTATAATGCTTTACAGGTTCATGTTTCCGATGTAGACTGGATCAAGATTATCTCTCAAGAAGAAATAAGCCTTCTGGTATGTTCTGATTTGACTATTAATACCTCATGTAAACTGTGTTTACCATGGAATCTTAAAATTATCAGGAAGAAGGCTTTCAAGTTGTTGATTTAGCTGCTGGGATTAGTGATGGAAGTACTTTTGACTCCTCCCAGGTTCGGATTCAAATTAATTATGTACAGTTCTGCGCCATATCATGTCTTGTTATATGTTAAGCAACGGAAAAATCTCTGATAATTGGATGGGTCTTACCTCTAAAATTCTGTATGTGTGCTTTTAGTTTTCTTCCTTTTATACATCTCCCCTTCTCTTATACTAATAAAAATAGATAAATGGAACTGAAAGCTCAATTCATCTAAACATTTGACATGTTTTGATGCAATGAAAAGACTAGTGTTAGAAAATAGAAGATATAAAGCAGTAAAAAAGGGGTAAAACAGTTATAGCGGAATGATTTCATGTGTAAATCAAAATTTGCTTGATTTCTTAGCATCTTAACCTCTCTTTGTTGTATGATGTGTTTTTTTAATACAAAGTACCTTGCCATATCTTAGCTCATTGTTCTTTTGCCTCACGATATTGGTAATAATGTTGGATGCTTTTGATTTGTCTATGGTTCTGCCGAACAACATCCTTTTCCTAGCGTGAAAAAGAATTTCTGGCTAGCTATAAACAAGGAACAGCCTCCAATCTAAATTGATGAGGAATTGCTGTATGTTACAAAAAAAAAAATAGACGAGGCGATAAACAGAACATTTTCACTTAATAACAAACCAAAAGAAGTGAACTTATCTGAGATAATCTGGTATTCCTTTCTTTCAATATATGCCAAAAAAGAGCAGTGAATATCCAATGCAGGGAACACAAATGATGTGGAGGGTGCCCAGTGTGGATATTTTTGGATTTTATCTATCGTGTTTAGATCATTTATAGAGCTTCACTTTCTTTCAATTATTTCCTTTCCATATCAGTTTAGAGAGAGATTGATTTTAGTGAGTAGTGTTCCCATGAAGTTAATTGGAGGCAGATTTTCTGGAAAAAATCTCTGATGACTCTGGAAGCCAGCACAGTTGGTCTTCCTCATTTTTGGCGTTTTTCCTTACAGAATAGTAATTGGCTGTCCCGTTCTTGCATTTCTCTGTCCACAAGGCCTCTTCCGAGATTTAGGTTGCAAACATTTCCCACAGCAGACCATCTAAGGCTAATTAACATCCTTTTGGAATCGGCTATTGCATGAAGGGCTTGGAAAGCTTCACAACAAGCTCTCCCTGAGGTCCAAATGCCCTCCCAACTGTTTTCCCTATTCCCTGATGAAGACGACATGTTCTTCCCCGAAGTATTTTTGCTGATGTGTTTCCAAGGGCTAAGATTAGAAACCTTCTTAACCGGATTTGGGAACCAGCCTCTTTTGGTCTGACGAATTTGCTTCTAATTATCTTTTTGCACAAAGCTGTTCATTTTGCGAAAATTTCCACAACCATTTCAAAAGCAAGGCGTGAATTTCTTTTTATCTAGTCTCCCACAGCCAAACCTCCATAAATTTTGGGGGTCGTAACCTTTTTCTAGCTAACCAAATGACTGCCTCTATCCTTATTTGCATCTTCCCAGGGGAAATCCCTTGTGATTTTATCAATAAAAGACTTTCGATCCCACATGCTTGCTTTTCTGAAGGTTTTATTTTGTTTATCTATTAAATCTGTTTCTCTTCTCTAGAAGATTGATCTGACTATGTGATTTATCTATAGGAGGTTCTTGTGTTTATAAATAAAAGTCTTCACTAAGTTCTATTTCTTTGACTTCTTCTATTTTCAAGGAGATTTCAGAAGCGGTAGGATTCATTTTCGGCTGTGAATAGTTCTTTGTTGTCCCTCCTTATTTTTCTTTTAGTGGTGTGGTTGTATTGGTCGTGTTGAGCATGTTCCATTCTTGTTTGATCTTTTTGTCTTTTCAATCAGTCCCTTGGGAGTTTGAATTTTGAACAATTGTTCATTTTGAGTTGTTTCTTGTTAAAAAAAAAAAATCTCACACCTTTTCCCGGGAGTTCTTTAACTTTTTTAAAATTCTAAATTCCTCTCAAGCTGAAGGAAAAATTGTAGAGCTTCTCCTCTTTGCCAACCCTTAGTAATAGTCACAAAAGCATACCCGTTTTACTATTCGCTATTCCTTTATATACTAAGGCCCAAGCCTATTGCATCAGCATATATGTCTTATTTCTTAATAGCCCCTTTCTGACCAATTACATTCTTTCTTATCGCTAACTCTTCTAGCATGCTTCCTCCCATAAATATTCATTACAGGGGTCATTTACGACAAGGTCTTCAAAGAGACACCTTGTGCGGAAGGTGAAACTCTTGAAAGCGATCAGAAGATCCCAAAACAACAGAGTCGATCTTTCTTAACTCCGTAACAGCTGATGCAAGTTACATAATAGTGTTTCAATTGATCAAAAGATTAATTACGCTATAAAATAATTAAATAATAATGATAGAGGGGTCCGTTTTAGTTGTCCGATTGTTCCTTTCAACCCATAGGATCATAAAAAAAAAACTCTATCAAGTTGTAACTATATATTCTCTCTTTTTCAGGGGCGGCCCCCAAATATTGGCAATTGAAAAACTTTTGTATTAGTAGAGGGTTTGGCCATCTGAATGAAGATGGAAGAATATTTTAGAATTTGTTGGAAAAATCACAAGATATAAATGTCGCTGCATTCAGACTCCTCCAAACACATAATACTCTTGCTCGACCCTTCTATTTGAATGGCATCTTAAGTATCAATGATTTCGTTGTTGAGTGCTCAAAGGAAGAATTTTGTCTTCAATGGGCATTTGTCCGTCAAAGTTTTGCAACTTTTAATTCAGGATCGTGTTTGCTTACATTCTATTCAAATAGAGGTCTTACTTCAAATTGATTCGTAGATTCAAGAGGGCAATCATTTTTCATCAATATCTGATAGAGAGGTCAATGAGTGCTTGAGGGAAAACATGGCCATTTAGAAATCTTCTCATCGTTAAGTAATCTACAAAGTTTCTTTTCTGTCCAAGAAGTTTGTAGGGTTTTCCATTTAGGATATAAATCGGAACTAAGCCAGGTTTATTGTTCCTTTCTAGTTTTAATCTTTCGACTTCTTTTGTTTATTTCGTTGTGCTTTTTTCAGTCCTTTTTTTTTTCCCTTCCCTGTTTATTTTTGCTCATTTATCTTTGAGCAGTAGTCTCTTTTCATACTCTTACTTAAAAGTGTCGTATTTTGTTCAAAAAAAAAAAAAAGAAGTAAAAAGACCTAAAACCACTACATGCTCATCACGGGAGCTATTTTGGAGTGGAGGAAGCAAGTGCATTGAGTTTGGGGAAATCTTGAGCTAGTGAAGAGTTGGACAACTGTTTGCTTGTGATGCAGATCTTATAAAATTGGAACTCCTTTTTCTTTGTCTACCTCCTGTTTCAACAATGAAATTTTTGTTTTTTATTAAGAAAAAGACTGAGGGCCTCCTCGTGATTCCCCTTGGTTTGGGAGCATCCTTGTGCCTTTTCTATGCGCTTCCATCATTCATACGATGTTCAATCTCTATTTAGATATAGAAATAGCAAAGTTAATTTACTGCTTTCTTTTTTGTAATACAGTTTGCGTACATGAATATTCTCGTTCATATTGAGGATCAAATAGTTGAGCTTGTAGACACTGATGATTCTATGATTACTCGTCATGGGGTGGTTAAAGCTCCAAGGTTCAAAATTAAAGCTGTATCACTTGGGACAACTACTCTTTATGTAAGTTTACTTTCGTCTTAGTGTTTATTTGCAATAGTGTATATTTGAACTTTTGTCAATTTCTGAAGAGGTGTTTGAATTTACAAGTTAAATTTATTATTAAAACAGGTGAGCATTCTACAACAATCTGGACGTGAAATATTAAGCAAACCAATAAAGATTGAAGTCTATGCACCACCAAGAGTTCACCCACATGATATTTTTCTTTTTCCAGGTGCATCTTATACGGTAAGTCACTGACTTATGGATCCTGGAATATAGAAAAATAAGTACAAAATAGAGAAACGATAGGTTCTTTGCTTTCAGATTGTGATGTTTATTATTTCATAAAATAGAAAAGGAAATCTGTGATATAGTTGCATTTCCTTTTTTGTGTAACCGCAGCTCACAGTCGAAGGTGGTCCAACAGTTGGCACATACGTTGAATATGCAAGTTTGGATAATGCAATTGTGAATGTTCACAAGTCTTCTGGGCTACTTTCGGCAGTTTCATCTGGGAAATGTGTAAGAAATATTGCCAACTCACTATTCATATGCTGTGATCCTTCTAATTTTCTTTCTTGCTGTAAGAAATAGATTCTCAACGAATGACTTAGAGTTTTGTCGCCTTGTAGTGCACCTTGCACTTTTAAAGCACGGGTTTTATGTTATAAGTTGGGAAAAATCAATTTATAACCTGAACTTCGGAGTTGTATCAAAACCTCAAACTTATAGTTGTATCAATTTAACTCTAAAATTTGTTAAGTCAATCAATTTAAACCATTTGTTAGTGATTTATATATTTTCACTTCCATTAAATACGTGTTACAAGAAAATTATCATGTAACCCTTTCTAAATACGTAGAGAAAAACAGAAGCCGAGAAGATGAAAAATATCTCAAAATGATTTTTGCATTTTTCTCGAATTTAAATTAGTCCTTACATTTAAAGAAGTTTACACGTGAAAAATATGCATGAGCAGTTTTGAAATGAAATTCTAATAAATGGTCTAAATTGATTCACTCATGAAAGTTCAGTGTTTAGTTTGATACATTTATTAGTTTTAGATTTTAATTGGTACACCCCCAATGTTTAGGGGTATAAATTGATTTTTTTCCTTATATATTTTATTTAATTATTATTTTACAACTCCCAACTGGATAGTGTGTGTTTCTGTTTGTCATTAAGTATGCACTCACCATTTCCTAATGTCGTTCCTTTTTCCTTAAAAAACTTCCAGAATATCAGTGCGACTTTTTTTCGTTACGGAGGCTCTATTATTTGTCGAGCATATGGTAACATTAAAGTAGGAATTCCGTCCAATGTGTTGTTGAATGTACAAAATGAACAACTAGGTGTTGGGAACGAGATGCCTATTTACCCCTTGTTTCCAAAGGTAACAATTAAGAACTGAAGCAAAGCACTTTCATCTGATTTCTAACATGGCGACCTACTGACTTTAGTCTGTTGTCAGGGTGATGTATTTTCCTTTTATCAATTGTGCAAAGGTTATAGTTGGACTATTGAAGATGAAACGGTGAGACTATCTGCCTCTGTGATTTCTTAAATTGAGGTATTGGTATCCATTGGATAGAAGTTTGACATATGTTGCTTAGGTGTTGAGTTATAGATTGTCAGAGCGCCTCAGTGGTAGAGACTTCAAGCCTACTTCAACTGTTCTAGAGGATGTTCAGTTAATGAGTTATATGAACGAGGAGCTTGGCTTTATCAATATGGTATATGGAAGGTATGCACCAAATATTGCTGCAGCAAACTAATTTGGCTTCTATCTCTTGTTTTGACAATTCAGTCGACATAACAAGACTACGGGGATTCAAGCTACTGCGTAGATTTGAGTTTTATGACTTTTTATTAATTTATTTATTATCAGTATTATTATTTTAAGTTTTATCTTCAAATTTTGGTTTAAATTTATTTAAACTGTACCTATCTTTTTTTTCTTGGGGGGGGGGGGGGGGGGGGGG